TCTGTTGCATTCGACACGGTGAACCATCAGATCCTCCTTCGCACTCTCCAAAAACTTGGGGTTTCAGGCTCTGCACTTTCCCTCCTCACCTCATACCTCAAAGACCGTACCTACAGGGTAACTTGGAGAGGGTCTGAGTCCGACCCTTGTCAATTAACTACAGGGGTCCCTCAGGGCTCTGTTCTTCTCCTCTTCTCCCTGTACACAAACTCGCTCGGATCAGTCATTAGCCCGCATGGTTTTTCATACCACTGCTACGCTGACGACACGCAATTAATTCTGTCCTTTCCCCGCTCAGAGACCCAGGTCGTCGCACGCATCTCTGCTTGTCTAGCTGACATCTCTCAGTGGATGTCTGCTCATCACCTCAAGCTCAACCTTGACAAGACTGAGCTGCTTTTCCTTCCGGGAAAAGATTGTCCCACTCTTGACCTGACTATCAACATCGGCACCTCAGTTGTTTCCCCGACTCAGACTGCAAGGAATCTGGGTGTGACCCTAGATAACAGCCTGTCCTTCACTGCAAACATCGCTGCTACAACCCGTTGCTGCAGATACACGCTTTACAACATCAGGAAGATACGTCCCCAGCTGACACAGAAAGCGACGCAGGTTCTGGTCCAGGCTCTCGTCATCTCACGCCTAGACTACTGCAACTCCCTCCTGGCTGGTCTACCTGCATGTGCCATCCGACCTCTGCAGCTCACCCAGAATGCAGCGGCTCGTTTGGTCTTCAACCTTCCTAAATTTTCACACACCACTCCGCTCCTCCGCTCCCTTCACTGGCTTCCGGTAACTGCTAGAATCCACTTCAAGACACTGGTACTTGCTTACCATGCTGCGAATGGATCTGGCCCTTCGTACATCCAGGACATGGTTAAACTGTATACCCCAGCGCGTGCACTACGCTCTGCATCAGCCAAACGACTCGCTGCACCCTCGCTGCGAGGGGGACCCAAGTTCCCATCAGCAAAAACACGTGGGTTTGCTATCCTGGCTCCAAAATGGTGGAATGAGCTCCCCATTGACATCAGGACAGCAGAAAGCTTACACACCTTCCGGCGCAGACTGAAAACTCATCTCTTTCGACTCCACCTCGAGCGATAGAATTATTAACAAAGCAAAGCACAAAGCCAGTTGAGTAGCACTTGAAATGTTTGGCTCTATGAAACCTGATGTACTTATATGATTCTGTTTTCTTCAAGGTTGTGTCTTCCTGGTCGAATGTACTTATTGTAAGTCGCTTTGGATAAAAGCGTCAGCTAAATGCAATGTAATGTAATGTAATGTAAAGAGACCAAGATGGCTGCAAGAGGATGACAGGATCATTGTGTGTTTATTATTCTAAACTCTCAATACTAAGAGTTCATACTGATACTTGTGTTCAAGCCAAAACACATTGAATAGCCATCTGTGAAACAAGTCTGAATTCCTTTGCTCTTACTGTGGTTGTTTGTTGTTTACTGTTGAAGCTGAAACTGACATGCTCGTTTACACTTTCTAATGCTTTGACCCTCCAAGTTGTATTGGGCGGTATTGTCCAGAGTTTTATTCTATATCCAATCAATTAATGGAAACTGAGAGGGAGTAAACTGCAATGAAACCAAACCATCAAATGAAAGTATGATGTTACATTTATCATTCTAGACTTCAAAAAGCAGCAAAGTGGAAGAGCAACCTGTTGATATTATCTTTAGAAATGCAATGTTCGCCCGATTTCAGACAAAACAAAGGAGACCACACAGATATTCAAGGTTTAAAGTTAAACAAATGTATTCAACCCACAATAAACAATAAACAAAAATATGATTAAATATATAAATTGTTCTAATCAGCAATGTAGTCTAGAGCGTAGAGTTTAGAGCTTAGGGAGTTGGCAGCGTGGAGTGTAGGTAAAGTGTGGAAAGCAAATTGAACAGTTACCAAAACACAAACAAACTAAATCCCCTAAGCTACAAACAGTGTCTTTGAGATAACTTAAAGCACAAGTCAGCATTTAATAATTAACAAACAGCCAGATAGAGGTTGACATAAAAAACCTCAGGCGTGATAAACATTCATTCACAATTGCAACTAGAGAATGCAATTCCTAAAGAAATTGCTAGTGGGAATGCTTTATGCTGAAAAGCTGACACTAAACTGCTATGCTGAAATGTAATGTGTAAGAAGAAAGTGAAGAATTTAGATTGAAATGATACATGAACACTGGGGGCTTGAATGTGTGATAAGAGAAGAAAAGAAAGTAAAAAGGCTTGGAAAGCAGCAGAATATTTGAACTGCAAACTTTTGAACTAACTTGATGGCGAATGATCTGTCGCCATGGCAACGGCATTTGATGACACCCCATAATACGCTTAGATGTGTTGATGGCTGCATCGTTACCAAACCTGTGAAGTTTTGGGCCATTTAGAGAATTTGAACTGAAGTTGTGAGAAAACCGTGTTTCATAGTGAGCATTGTGTTGCAAGGCAACGGCATTTGAAGAAATCTTAAAACTGTCAAATAGATGTCTTCACGGCTGGACTGTTAGCACACATGTGAAGTTTGAGCACTTTTTGACCATTTTCATAGGAGCTATAGCAATATCGTGTTTTACGGTGAGGGATGCGTTGCCATGGTAACAGCTTTTGAGGAAAACTCACTAATGGCACATACTGTAGACATGTTGAAGGCTGGACCATTAACCATTAACCATTATCTGAAGTCTGCTGCTCTGAACATGTCAGTTGGAGTTATGACATCATCGTGTTCCATGACACAGGTGTTTATATTTGAGCTAACGAGGTGTCCAGAGATTCAAAGGTTTCCATTGTTCTGAATGAGAGATAAACCTCTTACATGTACATGTGAACGTTTTGTTGAAGAACCGTAACAGATATCGGTGAAATTTCAACGTGTGAAGCATCTGTAAGAAGTTGAGCATCTGAAGTGTGCTTGTTGTGTACCTTCGGGTTAATAATGTGGCCTTTTTGGCAGATTAACAAAAGGTGTGCGGCTAATGCTGAGAGTAAAGATCAGCTTGAATTTACAATTGGCTTTAATGGAGACATTTTTTGTCACTTCATGCCCTCAAGAGGCATTTTGTTTAATTATTTTTTGCTTAATTTCTTTTCATTTTTCAAGCTACGAGATGTTTTCCTATGTTTGTCATGACAAATTATGTCTCAGGAGTGTAGGGTTTGGGAATTATGGCAGGTTTAAAAAAACAAATATGAAGGCGAATTTCAAGCTGTCCTCCACTCTAGCTTTGAGATCACAAACCTTAACGAGCTGCTCAACACACACTAATGTTCAAATCTGAAGAAGGCCTCTTTACCAAGGTCTGAACAATGTTTAATATTTGTAAAAGTATATCAGATTTAAAAGTTGTTTAACATGAATACTGTCAGAAAGATGTGAAACATTTTAAAGTTGGAATGAGGTTTCTGAGTGAAAGTATGAAGGAGCAGTTAGCAGTTGAAGTCGCATGAAGATTTTTCAAGTCTGAAGAGTTTCTCCATTGACTCCAATGTTAAAAATGTGATGAATTATGGGATGTATCTCTGGAATTAGGAAAGTTATGAATGAGAAAAGTAATAACCATCGATTCCCGACTGAGCTGAACGTTTTGATGTTTGAACGGAGTTTCTGCAATGTGGAATGTGGGAGAAGAAGAGGCGCAAAATAACCCGGCAGAATAATAAAGAATTTTGTGCATCGAATAACAGATAGTTGGAATGCTGTATATTTTACTGTACATTTATTTGAATGAACTATTATAGTATGACCTTTTATGAAATGTTTCAGTAGTGAGATGGCCGTACAGCATTTGGATGGTAAATGCTTTGAGCCCTGTTCCCTTTATTCTATGTTGTCCCTAGGCAAGATACTTAACCCCCATACTGTACATAATGACATATTAACTTTTTAAGATGACATTTTATGACTTACAATACTATAGCTTTTAACGACATACTTTGATATTTAACGAGACTTACTTTATGACATACTGAACCTTGACTTTGTACGCCCCTGGCCCTATTTGGCTGGATGTTCTCTTTCTGGCGAAATTAAAGATACTTTATAATGGGAAATCTGTCAACACAGACATAACAGAGATCACCAAATAAACAGAAAGTCATTTTCAGCATACACATGACAAAACACAAAACTCAGACTGCAGACAGATATCAAGCTTTCAGACGGTTTGAGTTTGAACAGTATGTGTTTCTCTCCCTATGTTGGAAGCTGATAAGGCTCACAGGGCATATGTGCTTGTTGCCAACAACATACTAAATACATCTATCTCTGTCTCCTCAAAGCTATGGTGTTTTACAAACCTTTGTTTGATCTACTGTACATGCAGTGGTTTTGAACTACATTTATTTTACTAATAAAAATCCCTGTGCAAAGACTAAAACCAATGTTTTCTGTGAATCCTGACGCAGAGTAATACTCTCTGGCAAATAATTTAATTGATCTCCCAAAACGTTTTAAACAAATAAATGAGCTAGGGTGTTTCTCAAACCGTTATCATGGGAACTGTAGTTTGAATCCCACATTGGCCATGCTGGTGGTGTAAAAAAGATATCTTATTCAACATTGTTTGAACGTATCACAGCGTATCAGCTTGTTCCAGCTTGAAGTGACCTATTTTAATGCAATACTTTTTAATTGGCTGCTTCATTTCATGAAATGGAAATACTCTACTTGTCCTTTTAGTTCTTTTGAAACCTTGCACATCGGGAGAATATTGAAATAAAAAATGTACTTTTAAATAGTTAGCCATCTTTAAAGATTCACATCTTCGGGAGGAATACATTTGCTTGGTAGTGTTGCAAAAAGGATAGGAAAGTAGGAAAGTATACAGTCTTATGAATTGTTGGTTTTCATGGGATTTGTTGATAATAAGAAAAACATAGAATCACTGTTGATGCCAGTGTGGTGAGTTTTATCAAAACACATCCTGTTTGTTTACACTGAAAAGTTATACATAATGTCCTCTACTTTGACTTGTGTAGCCCTGCTTGATCATGGCCCAGTGGATACACATGTCCCAGATGATCCAGCGCCTGTCTGATGACACGGTCAACAACCTCTATCCCCCAACCGCCTTTCCCATTGAAGTCAGACATTTTTTAGCTGAATGGATTGAGAGCCAAAGATGGTATGGCACAAACACATGTGCACACACTTTATAAAGTAACATGTACATGCTTGCAGATGTACACAATATTCATGCGTATGCTTAATGTTTCTTTCTTAGTCTGTGGCCTTGTGTTTGTGTGGATCTATATGCATTGGTGTGTGTGTGTGTGTGTGTGTGTGTGTGTGTGTGTGTGTGTGTGTGTGTGTGTGTGTGTGTGTGTGTGTGTGTGTGTGTGTGTGTTCTTCTCCCAGGGACGACTTTGCACTGGAAAAGGTGGAGCTGGAGAGCCAGGCTCAGACTCTGTTGGACCAGACCATCAGCATGCTGCAATCCATTTCGCAGCAGAATGCCAACGTGGTGGACAGATTGAAGTTGATGCAGATCAGCAGGAACATGGTAGGGGAATAGAAACCCTCAATAACACAGTGTTAGTCTCCATGCTGTTTGCAATCTAGATTGAAGGCAGTTGTGGTCTACATTCTTCACATGTCTAATTCTGAGTAGATGCCAGTGGTTGCAGCAGATTTGTGTCGCTCATATGGCTGAAACCACGAAGATGGTGTCATATGTATGGGAATATTGTGTTTGTTGGGTATAAATCGTTACAGATGACCACAACATTCTTTAAGTACTTCTTGTAAACATAAAAACCCACATATTGTACACTATACTGACAAGATAGCTAAGGGAAAAAAAAGGTTTTGTCAGTGACATTACCTGAATACTAGTAGCCACACAGTAGTATTTTGGATTGTTTTTAAGGATTTGTAATATGCTTGCTTTCCAGACCATGCTTAATCAGCGGCCTCTACGATTTGCAGTAATGGTCAAAGAAATCCTGGCGAAGGAGAGGGTTCTGCTCGGCACGGTAAGATCTTTAAAATAAGAAATACGCTCTGTGTTTAGTTTAACTACAGCCCTCTTCTTAGTGTGTGAAAGGCATACTACTACAAACTATTTTACAGCCTTCTTTCAAGACATTTTCAAGGGAAATGTGTGCATTTTAGTATGCAAGTAACAGTCACCAGTTGGAAATGTCTCTTTAGTGTTTATTGTTCTGCTCTGAGATTCGTGAAAATAACAATTAATCTGTTTTTGAAATCAATTCCACTTTTAATTTAATATAACTAGTGGAAGCATCATTTTGTTAAATCTTTCTGACGCCACAAACAATACTGTAAGTGTATTAAGTGCACTTCTATGTTTCTAGCTTCCTCAGACGCCCAGCAGTACTCCACAGTACCAACAGCACCAGAATAGAGAGAACTCGTTTCCCAGCATGCAGGATGTAGACCACCTGGTTCTAAAGGTGTTGGAGGTCCAGGACATTCGGCAGAAGATGCACCAGCTGCAAGAAGAGCTCAACTGGGAAAGGCAGAACTTTGAGGGTTTACAAGGTGAGAGACACAAACACTGAACACAGAGATTCTCTTTAGTAACGCCCTGCTTAATCTTCGCGTAATGCATGGTTGCATTTATTTGTTTTTCTGCTTTTTAATTTCTGTTTGTTTGGACTCAACATATGATGTTATTGATTGTTTGCACAGGACCGATCCAACAGAACGGAATGGATCCCAAGAATTCAGAAATACAGAAACTCCAGAATCACATCCAACAGTTGGAGTACAACGTGAAAGCACTGGCCACGGTGAGCTTGGAAATGGCTTCAGACCAACATTACTGGCTTCTTAGAGGGATATTGCTTGATTATTATTTCAGTCTGAGGCTACTTATCTTTCTAAAATAGATTCATTGATGTCTTTTGTCTATTTTATGAAAGAATACTGATTATACTGAGGTGTCAAATGTGTGTATATTCTGACCAGTACAGTATAATATTTGCAGATTTACTTTGTGTTTGTTTTCAAATTTATAATTTACATTTGGAGATTTTAGAAGGTTCAGTTTCATACGTTTATTAGAATATAAATGTAACAGTTGATGCATAAATGCAGTCTTGGATAGGTATAGATGTATTTACTATGGCTGTGTTTGTATGCATGATGTGTATGCATGATGTGTTTTGATGACATAGACATGAATCAATGTGTTTTCCCACGTGCGAAAGTGTAATGTGTTTGGATGTGGGTTGTTGTAGAAGCGTTTCCAGCTGCTGAAGGAGTGTGTAGACTGTTTGGATCAATGTCAGACCCGACTGATCAGCAGGCTGAAGACATGGCGGTGGGAACAGCACAAGGCAACCATCGGACATCCCTTTGACGAGAACCTCCACCCTCTGCAGACCTGGTGAGGCACACCCCACTGGGAAAATACCAACCAGTTTGATGATTTTTGGTTTTACGCTTTAAAACATCATATTCTTTGGCAAACACATAATGTAGGAAATACTGTAGGTTGTGACAATCATATGAGTTTACGTTTTTTGTGTTTGTTATTTCTTTATTGCTCCTTGACTATCTTTTAACTTGTTATCTGTTAGGTGTGAGCAGCTGCTTGGCGTGAATGGGAAGCTGAGACAGGAGTTAATGCTGATAGGGGAACCAATCCCAGAGCTCCAGGAGAGGCTGGGGAAACTTCTGCAGGTTCTGATCCAAAGGTAGCTCAGTCACATGGCTTTCTTTTTTTATATATTTGTATTTCCCTTTACATTGGAGAACTATGAATAAAGTACATTTACTTATCTTAAAATGTTCCCTTCCTTTTTACTCTACTTTTAACCTGTTAAACCCCAAGGTCCCCGCCGGCGGGTACTTTTTTTTTTTTTTTTCACGACACTGTGTCTCAGGGGATCTTAATACAGGGCTGCCAACACTCACGCATTGAGCGTGAGAGTCACGCAATTAACCCATATCTCACGCACTCACGCCACACTTGCCTTTCCTCACGCTAAGTTTTCGTCCAAAATAAATGTATATAAAAATAAAGTGAAGGAACAGCAAACCGAGCGGTCTACGAAATGAGACGGTCTTCTGGCTTAGTTCAGTAAATTTGGGAACGATATTGGGAGATTCTGATTTCCCAGATCAATAACTCATGAACACAAATGACGTCTCCTAAGTACCGTAGTAAGGTTGACAACGAACTACAATCACATTTTGATCAAAAAAAGCCAATACGCGCCGTCCTCCAAGCTGGACACATTACATTGGTCTCTATCCGCAGCCGGAGAAGAAACGAGTGCTCAGGGACCGTCTGCAAAGTGCAACTCCGAAAAAAGAGAATACAATAATATTCAATCACTATTATACAGCTTATTACTACCAAACTCACTACACACATCAATAGTCTCCTGCGTGTCATACTACAGCAGAGAGTTTGGAAGAATATGCTTTTGAATAATTTTGGAGAATATTTATAATGTAAAATCTTCAATAAATATGGCATCATCTTAAATAACTTTACTATTATACAGTATATTTCTACCAAACTCACTATTTGCATTGTTGTTGTTAGCATCTGGTTAGCTTAACGGATATTAGAAGCTGTTTCTAAAACAAGGAGAGGGAGAGCTCTGTCCTGTCAGACTGAGAGATAACTACAGCTCAGTGAGGTAAGGGACTCTCTGTTTAGATAGTTAACTTTAGTCTAGTTATCTAGTTATACAGTTTAAAAGGTGAGTGATTTGTAAAATATCCATAAAGAAAAAGAAAATCTGTTTACCATAAATTCATTTTGCTCTCAAAGTGCACCAGGTTGATGCATTTAACTTCAATATTTAAAAATATATATCTTCCCGAGGGAGCATGCCCCCCCCCACTTATAAAATAGCACTTGATTGTAAGAGTTGCGGGTACACTGTGTATGTGTGTATTCCACTGTAGAGCCCGGTACATGAATGGGAAACCCTAGTTTGTACATGTTCAATACATTTGTAACACTGTACATGAACGTTTCTTTTTTCGGTTCACCAAAAAAAAATCTCACTTCGAGCTGAACTCAAATGTTGGCAGCCCTGCTTAATATTTAAGAACCTATAATGTGTTATACCAGATTAACGGGAATAATCTCAGCTAACTGACGATACAAACCATTTTTACCAAAACAAAACACAAGTCTCATAAGAAGCATCTAAATGACCCCTGAGCGAAAAATGCTAACCTATTACTGCGCCGATAATCACTCCTAGCTCCCTTATTACTTATCCTAGGTGCACATCCAAGACACCGTTTATGATCGCAAGGAGACACAGAATCTAACTGTGTCCACCTCAACACTGAAAGATACAAACTCGTTATCAACAAAAACGTAATCAAAACAAGTGGCGCTAAGTAGCCCACAATGCTAACATGGTTTACCTTCGTCTTTGTCTGGTCTAAACTGGTCTTCAATGGCATTACAACGATAAAAACGATGCTGTAGTTAATCCATAGGTCAATATCCAATGTGACTGCATCCCCTTTGAAATGTTCTGATAATCCATAAGCAATAAAACAGCTTTTCCGTTGCTTGATATCAGAGCAGGATATTTCTCCCCTCTGCTGAAAGCTAGCATGCGCAGAGACGCCACCTTTTTGTTTTTTAACATGAGTGTGTGCGGGACGATTTCCCTTGGATTCTATTGGCTCTAACGGTCAGAAAGATATGTCACATGTCAAAATCGAACAAGGGGGGCCAGAGATATGGAAACTATCTCTGTACTTTGGATTCCTAAAGCTTTTAGTCTACTAACCCATCATCCAAGGTTAGTTTTCACTATAAGTACAAAATATTTTTTGGACGGACACTATAATTTACAGTTTTTTATCATGTTCAATCTGAATTTTCTTTAAAATAAAAAACATCTATATTGATTCTGACTTTTCTACATCCAACTCACAGGTTTATCATTACTTTGAGAAAAAAGATTATTAATGTAACCCTTTTAGAAGGGAAGATATGGTCATTTGTTCTGGGAATGTCATTTTCGAGCCTGAAACCTGAAAAACAGGCTTTTAACACTTGTTTCCAAACAGGAAGCATTTTTCCTCACTCCTTTAACTGATTTATCTTTCAGCTCTCTCGTGGTGGAAAAGCAGCCGCCTCAGGTCATTAAGACCCAGTCAAAGTTTTGTACAACAGTGCGATATTTGCTGGGGGAAAAAGTTGCTTCTGGGAAGCCTGTTGTGCTGAAGGCGCAGATCATAAATGAAATGCAGGCCAGGAATCTGGGCAGTGTTCCCGGGTGAGTCATATTTACACAACATGGAAAACTGCACACTGCAAACAGATCTTCTATACCTCTGCTATGTTTAACAAATATTTTATTTATATTAATATAATATCATTTCAGAATAGGCTCTATTAATTAATGGACATTGACACTCTTTGTTTTGTTATCTGCAGCGATAATGTTGGGGAACTGATCAACAATACAGCCATCCTGGAACACAACACAGTCAGCAAGAGCACGTGTGCCACCTTCAGGAACATGGTATTATTCAATCCTAATTTCTTTCTTTTTTTTCTTTTTTTTTCTTCCTTTATTTATCCAGGTGTATCCCATTGAGATCATTGATCTCTTTTTCAAGGGAGACCTGCTCAAGTAGGTTCCACATGAAACATAAAAACATAAACAGAACAACAAAAAGGACATCATACAGCATCATTACAGGGATTTACAATTTACAATAACTATCCACATGAACAGGTACCAACAGCTTCCGATTGAGTAGCATCCAACCGAGCTTTAAAAACATTTAGTGGCACCAGATTGCTCAGTTTCCATTCCAATTGCAGACTATTCCAAGACAGTGGAGCTGCGCATCTAAAAGCTGTCTTCCCTAAGACAGTCCTAGCAGTTGGCACATTTAATAGAAACACAGCATGCAATCTCAGGCAGTAGCCACTTACAATTTGCCGTGAGATCAGGGAGCAGATGTATTTCTCAGCCTAGATTAGATAATTGTTTATTTGTCAAGAAATTCAAACCCTCATTTTGCTTTAACAGTCCATCAAGAAGATCAAAAGGGCCGACAGAAGGGGATCGGAGTCTGTGACAGAGGAGAAATTTGCTCTCCTGTTCTCGGCAGAGATCACCATCACAGGCTGTGACACTCCCTACAGGATACAGGTTTGACATATCAATTGTTCTGTCGGTTTTAAACTGTTCTATATATCCTGTTGCTCTTCGAAAGTATGGGATTTGGGCCTTTAGATAATCATGCTTTTTCCTGTTCGATTTAACACTGTGGCATCCAATTTTCTGGCATATCATTTGCCAGCAGACACACATTAAAGCAGTGATACAATGAGCTGACAACAATAATCTCATAAAACTAACAACTGTCATTGATTATAGATGATCTCACTGCCGGTGGTAGTCATTGTCCATGGTAGTCAAGACAACAACGCTCTGGCCACCATCATATGGGACTGTGCTTTTTCCGAATCAGTAAGTGTAAAATGTGTGATTTATTTGTATTGCTTTTATGTTCCTTCACTTTATTCTCGGTTATTTAGTCCCTGACATCAATGTAAATGAATATGAGTGTTCTCGCCTTGTCAGCCTTTTTGTTATTGTCATCAGGACAGAGTGCCGTTCATGGTGCCGGAGCGCGTGCCCTGGAGGATGATGTACAGCACTCTCAACAGTAAATTCACCTCTGAGGTCCAGACCAACCACAATCTGGACCATTACAACCAGCACTTCTTGGCCCAGAAGATATTTGACAAGCCAGATTTTGGCGACGACTTCAGCAACATTTTGGTTTCCTGGGGCCAGTTCAATAAGGTAAACGCAGGTGTATGTCCTCTTGCACAGACATTCAGGCTCACACACACTGACATCTCATGATGCAGTTTCAATCTTACAGGAGGTGCTCCCGGGCCGAATATTCACCTTCTGGCAGTGGTTTGAAGGAGTGATGGACCTGAGCAAGAAGCACCTAAAGACCTACTGGAGCGAAGGGTGATGACACCTCCCTTGCTGTTTAGATATTTAGATATTAGATAGTATCAACCTGCTACAGTCTGTTAATATTTACAAGTGTGTGTTCCACTAGGCTTATATTTGGCTTCATTGGGAAGCAGCATCTACACCTGATTCTCAAAGACATGCCCAACGGGACCTTCTTGCTTCGCTTTAGTGACTCTGAGATCGGAGGCATCACCATTGCATATGTGTCTGCTACTGAGAGTAAGTTTCTGTTTGGGCTGTCATGATGCTACGGTGCACACTGTAAATAAAGTGTTGGCATACATACAGTATATCCTTTATATATTTTATTTTAGTATTTGATTCTTTCAAACCCTCCCTTATTTTGTGGTCGGTCCTCCGGAACTATCCTAAATCCTGGACCAAAACAGATCGGACATTGATTTTAGACTCTTACCATACATTTGGACCTAATTTCTTCTAGATGGGGGACAGAAAATCCAGAACATCCAGCCCTTCACCAAGAAAGATCTTGATATCCGTAACCTTGGTGACCGCATCCGGGACATCAACGACATAACATACTTGTATCCTGCATTTCCTAAAGATGAAGTATTCAAAAGATTCTACTCAGGTAATGGTCTTCATGCACACATCAGGTGTTTATTCTTCAGCTTAAGTGAGAAGTATAACTGATTGTTTTTTTCCTGCTAACAGAGCCTCGAGCCTCACCCATCGGGGGCTACATCCCTGTGTCTCTCCAGACTAGAGTTGGCACGTAAGGGACTATTTTATAAGTTAACCATATCATTTGATGCACTTAGAGTAAAATGGCTGTAAGGTCACATGTTTGTGTGTGCAGAGAGGGCAGAGAGGGCAGCTCAGCCATCCCCCTGACTCGTAGTATGACCCCCATCGCTGTAAGCCCAGCAAGTACTATCTACTCTGTGTAAGTGGCACTTCTCTTCTCTTTCTCTCTTTCAATTTATTTACATATTACCAACTAACTTCCTCTCATTCATATTCCCTGGTTTTAAATGATTGTCATGTTAAGGAGTTTTAGGAGTTGATGTCTTCCATTTAAATATTTTAGTGATGTCTGTGAATGTTATGTTGCAAGAGTAGGTGGTAAACTTGCTTCTTTATGTAATTTTTTCTTGTGCTCGTGTTTTGGTCATTTGTCTCATTGTGTACTTATCTTACATATTAGTTATGCAACACCATCTACCATAAAGTCTCATGGAAAAGAAAATACTGTGCAAATACTAGTCCTTTGATTAAGTGACTGAAGGAACCTTCTCCAATTGGCCATAGTTAGCGTACTGTTAATAATAACAGTTATTATTGATTGTTGAAAGCGCTTTTTTATTACTGTTTTTTTCAGGAATCAGTTCCAGCAGCCTTTAGGCCAGCAGGAGCAAGACATGGAAGGTGAACCTAGTGGGGAGTTCTCTGGCTTCAATGAGTAAGTAGGTTTTAATGTTTCCGTCTATTCATACAATCTATTTCTATGTTGCTTTTACAGTGTTTAATGGTCATAATGTGTGTATTTCTGTCTTCTAGTCAGGCATCTACCAATATGGATATAGATCTCGACAGTATTTTAGAGAATCTGCAGGAATGAGGATTTCCCATTAAAGTTGTTTTTGGAGTGCAAAGCAGACATTAGGAAGAGACCAGAGCCAACGTCGTCTGTCTCACCTTCAAATAAATAAAAAAGGGCATGCTGACTTTCTTCCTCCCTATCATCCTCCAGATAAATCCAACTTTTGAGTAAAAATGTATGAGATGTCTCTGCAATACAACTTGTTGAGCTGATGCTACGTGACAGCAGGAAATCCTTTTATGGACAAAGTCAAACGGAGAACTAAGGAACAGAAAGAATCGTCGCTGCCCGCTGGCTCTTCTTGTTGTACACCTGTACACTGGTGGTTTTGGGATTTTTGTTGATTGCATCAGTGTACATCAGTATGTGTGTTTTTAGCCATGATGAGGCAAGTATTTCCCTCTTGTATATAACCCTTCCTAAGCCTCAGCTCAAGAATTCTATAATGTTATACACCCCTCCTACAGTATACATGGTAAGGACTTCCTAACTTAGACAATGTTATTAAGCCTAACGTGTTTTATGATATAGTAAAGATAAGTTACATTAAAGGGACAATAAGCTTTTCCATAACCATGCACTGTGAAACTATACAACATTGATGGACACTTACAATTCACTTATAAATAGCAGAAGTGGCAGTGTTGATGGTGGTGGGTGATGTTTATATTATATCTGCCTTCTTAAATACTCGATAATGTGTATTTTTTTGTTACATGTGTTGTTCGTCACTCTCAGCCAATAATGCATGACCTTATGCAAACAAATGATTGGTATCTGTCTAAAGTCTTTGGAGTGATACAAATCATACATAAATGACCAGTGTATGTCCAGACCTTTATTCCTATGCAAATTCTCAAATTAGATGTTATTTTATGTCTTACGTGACATTTGAATGTTTCTTGGTGTTGGAGAGTAAACACATGTTTGCTCATGGGATACAGAATAAAGTGATTAACATTGCAGTTAATATGATGCATTGCAGGGTGAAGAACAATATTAGTCTGAAAGAGGAAGCCGTTTCTTTACTTTGTGGGAGCTTTAAATCCAAATGTGTACTCATATTAGCAGCCTTTATCCACAGCAGCATGTACGTCAAATCCATCTTCCTCATAAACCAACTTTTGGATTTCAAAGTCAATGTTGTGCACGTGTTGCTATAATGATGTGTTTGAAGTACAGTGTTGCATGTTTGTTTTCCGGAGGAGAACCTTTTTATCTTTAGATTGACTTTTAGATAAATAGTTTTGGGGCTACTACTATAATCTATTAAAATGTTTAATTGTGGTGACCAATAAAGTCTCAGTGTTTCTCAATAAAGAAACTTGTGAAATGTATTTGCAATAACTCAGTTATCTCCATTAAGCCAAACGTTACTGATATCACAGCTGTGTTGCACTTATTGATGCCCTGCTGATAGAGGAATATGTCCTAGAAGTGGTTGCGGGCTGATTCTTAACTTTAACTGCCCCGTACTATCACACAAATAGCCTTATCTGATTGGGAAATGTTTGAGTAAATAAAATGTGTTACTTTGTTAAGTTCTCAGAAGTAACATATGTCAAATATGACGATTGTTGCCTACATCTAAGATTATATTTTCTTCCTATATCATCTATTTAAAGCACATACTTTTCTATGGTCAGTCTTAAATAAAAACAGACAAAGAAATGATTGGAAACATAAGAATTTTCTCATTTTTTTGACATATAAAATGATAAATCAATGGCACTGTGATCGGGAAGGTGTGCCTGGTACCAAAAAGGCTGTCCAATCAGTGAAAGCATATTGGTGTATGACATAAACGGGATCACTTCCATAAGCCAAAGAGGATACATTGTATTACTAGCATTGTATATTTCCTATCCATCCAGTTTCAACAATCATGAAATGATTTTAAAAAAGAAAGAACACTTTACACTGTACATCACAAAGCTTTTCCATTAGAACAATAAATCTAATTTTATGTCACTAAAATGTAAATTCTAATCAACCACTGCCAGGGAAATCACACTGAAAAAAAAGGTTATGTAGAGGAAGCAGAAAGTGAATCAGCTTACATGTCTGGTTCAAATACTGCTCTGGGGAAATGTGTCAAAATGCTAACATATCTCAGTGACCCTTCCCTCCATCCCAGCAGTTAGATGTCCCCTCATTAGAGCAGAACAAGATGGCTGCCTTGTAAATAAAGGGAGGAGGTAGGGTGAATGAAGGAGGGATGGAAGAGAGAGGGGATGCCAGGCCAATGTAGAGCTTCAACTTCCAAGTCAGTTCTCTTCAGTCGATTGTATGAAAATAAAGGTGTACAGTTATCACACTACAAAACACACTAATGATTACATCATCTTGCGGTGACCTTCTCTCTTCACCCAAATATCAGAGACGGGCTTGTCCAATAAAACGATCTCACTCCGTAAGAGCCACCAAGCTGAGCGTAGAAAAGAGAAGGCACCAGGTGTTTGCCAACACCAGCAACAAGCCACCACACCTCATGCAATCTTTCATTTCTAACCTCGAATTGATGTAACAAAGACCCTTCATTTGTGTCAAACAACATAATTCAACTAGAAAAAACGTGTGTTCCTCATGACAGCTTGTCAGATTTGCTTGTATTGTTTTTCCATGGCAGACACGCAAAAGTAAAAGCAAACCAACTATCACACACCTATACATGAATCTGTGATAAGCCCTGCTCTAAAAGCAGAAATAAATCATTTAAAATGTAACTCAAAACAAATATTCTTAAAGTTATCTAAAGTGGTACAAACCTGCAGATTTCCCAATATAAGGCAATGGGTAACACATTTGGTGGCAATTATACCAGTGTTTGTAATGTAACCTAGCGGAAGACTGAGCTCAGAAACGACCAGGTAGCGTTATGTTTTGTGGTAATTTTAATGTAAATATGTGTGCATGCTTCACTAGATGAAACAAAATCTCCAAACTGAATAAATGTGGCTTTCAGAATTGACTCCTAGGCATGATTTATTTGTATCTGATATAAAAAGAGGATCTCTCTAAACATGTTGAAATGATGCAGTATCAGTATGGAAAAGGCTGCATTTTCCCCTAAAATATGTTGTCATGCTTAAAAGAAAAAATCATGATACAGACAAAGGGATTTGGCAATGAAAAGTGAAAAATAAAAATGATCAATTAAAACAGGCACATACTCATGCACAGAGATATGCATGCACACCCACCTTCTGTCTCAAACAATCACACACGTAAAACTAAAAGCCAAATAAATACTGGTAAAGTACAATACGTACATGTAATTTACCCAAAGTTCATTAAACAAAATGGAGAGATCACACCGGATCAAAATGGAAAAGCATGCAGAAGTCCACTGCTCTACTGTAGCTTCACTCCTAGCAGACTACAAAATAGTGAAAAAAACAAGAGAAAGAAAGGGAAAGAAAAATAGCGAGAGAGGCCCCTGTCCTGAGCAGTTATAGCCACCTGGTCAACCAGGAGAGACTGAATCCCCACACCATAGGGCGCAGGGTGCTTCCTTCAGTGACAAGTCTTCTTCTAACCCTCCATCTTTGTCCTGCAGTCCAAAGGGGAGGAGGAGGAGGAGGAGGAGGAGGAGGAGGAGGAGGAGGAGGAGGAGGAGGAGGAGGAGGAGGAGGAGGAGGAGGAGGAGGAGGAAGAGGAGGAGGAAGAACAGGAAGAGGAGGAGGAGGAGGAGGAGGAGGAGGAGGAGGAGGAGGAGGAGGAGGAGGAGGAGGAGGAGGAGGAGGAGGAGGAGGAGGAGGAGGAGGAGGAGGAGGAGGAGGAGGAGGAAGAAAAGGAAGAGGAGGAAGGGTGGGTGGGTGGAGGTGAAATCAGACGAGATTGTCAGGGCTTCGGGTTCCGCTTCACTGTAATTCAGTAGGTCAGTTCTGGATGCAGAACAGGATAACAAAGGTGTCTGGGATGCGTGTGAGCATGTGTGAAGGCGGGGAGGAGGGTAAGTGCGCAGAAATGCTGAATGGGCTAAGGATGGACCGGGAACTGAGGGTGCAGATATTGGGGTGAGGGGTGAGGGATGGGGAGGTCAGAAAGCCAATCTTCTTCTCCAGGCTTATAGGGCCTGTGTCTTGAGCTCGATGGGATCCCCCCTGTTCTCCTGCTGGCCCTCAGCCTCTGGGGGCCGAATGCCCTTCAGTGTAGCGAGCCTTTCGGAGAGGTTGCGCACACGGGGGAAGAGTATGAAGTCGTACACCAGAGCACCCAAGGCAGCTCCAATCATCGGTCCAACCCAGTACACCTGCAATTAACAGCAAAGACAACATGTATTAGTGTTTTTGTAGATGTCACAGTAAGTGTAAGTGTACGTGTAAGATTTACAGATCATCTTACCCAGTGGTTGACAAAGTTCCTGACCATGACAGCAGGGGCGAAGGACCTTGCTGGGTTCATTCCTGCTCCAGTGTAGTACATCTAAGTGAAAGACAGCAAGAGTAGTTTAGAGTTAGGACTGCTTGTGTGAAAGGATACAACAGTCACATTCTTGGATGAACTCAGTGAGTCTCCCTGTTGGTGCTTACCCCGAGAAGATGGCCCATGAGCACAGAGAAGCCGATGGCCAGGGCAGCAGAGCCCAGGCGTCCATTGCGCCTCTCATCAGTCACAGAAAAGACGCACACGACAAGCTGCAGGGTGAGGAACACCTCCATCGTGGTGGCCATGCCCAGGCTGATTCCTGGCTGCAGCTGAAAGACCAGAGGAATAAAAGGTAACATTTATGTGTGCATTCATTAAAAATACTTATGTTCTTTGTTCAATCAGATACTATTACATTATTGTATACACATTGTGATTGGTCGACCTTGTATTACATTTTCAGGCAGAATTGGCAAATATGTTCTGTGTACAAGCAATACTTAAATTGTCATAAATAATTAATTATCTTAATATTTAAGTGTATGTGAACTTTTTTTTAAAGATTTGTAATACAGGAGTCAGAACCTATAATTAATGTGGTGTTGCAGTGGCAGGTGATCTTACCGTGTTGAGGGCCAGGTTGCCCCTCATGTTGGTCGGGGTGACCCCGTAGAGCACCGCAGCACCGGCCAGTGCGCCGAGACACTGGGCCACGATGTAGAAGAAAGCGCGGAACAGCGACATCTGAGAGCCAATCAGGTAGGCAAAGGTAACAGCTGGGTTGATGTGTCCTCCACTGATGTGGCCGATGGACTGGATGAGGGTGGCAGCCGCCAGCCCAAAGCAAAAGGCAACATGAAGAACATTAAGGGGCCCCGTGGTCCAGCGGAGGGCTGCCCCCAGCCCAAAGAATACGAAGAACATGGTGCCATAGAACTCGGCAAATACAGCGCGCCAGAATGACATGGACCTGAACTCCCACATGGTGCAAAGGTTCAAAAAGCGACCTCTAAGCAATGGAGGGATGAAAAGTCAGGAGAAAATCTACCTAGTGACCTAAAAGGAGAGGAACTATCTCCAAAACAGTGACTGTGTTTGAAATCTATAAAAAACAGAGCAAATGAAAATAATTTGCTCTCAAACTGAAGCTGCCTTGCTAAAGCTAAATGCAACAACAAGTTAACTGCTCAACATGTAACTGTGAACAATCTGCTGTTTTAAATTCTGATTTCTGTCATAGAGAGCTCCTGAGTGAAGCAATTTGCCAGTCTCTGTGCATCTATGGGCCAACCCCGCTGGTTTTAGTAGAAGAACATAGACAGACAGACGTTAAGCATGTCCTGCAGACATTCAGCCTCTTTACCAGAGCAGGGTGAGCTCAGAGGCCTTTTTATAACAGCCCAGGGGCCACAGCAGCCCCACCAGGGCCAGGGGAGGGGCATGCACACAATACTACAGATCAAAACAAAATCATTTAACCCTTCGTCTGCCTTAACGGGTCACAGGTTTAAAAGGAAATAGTCAACACTTGATAATGTCATTAATCTATAAAGATAAAGCTATAACACACTGCAGTTTAAGGGGTACTTCTGAAATTGAGATGTCAGGTTGAAGTTATATGCGGGAGGACAGAGAAGAAAGCAAAATGTCAAATGCTTTGACTCATCTCATTATTTTTTCTTGGGCCTTTCAAATCCAATAGAGTACCATCGATGGTATTTTTGAATTGATTGATTTCACTACTTATGTCAGGATTAAAGGTCAGTGGTAGAAAAACCTTATTCATAACACCACTGAACATTAGCCCTGGACGGACCTTGAAACCTGAAAATATAAGAGCAGTGGGCATGTGCGTAACCTGCGAGCTGGTAGAAGTTGAGTGCAGAGGGAGTTTTGCTTAATTTACACTTATTTTTAATATTTTTACAAGCACAGGATTGATGTCAGGGCCCAACTACTGATTTTACATGGATTTTCTTTTTATTGTTTTCTCTGCAATGAACAGTTCACATTTACTCCAATAAAAACGGTGATCACCAAAGTACAAGCAACGTGTTGTGCTCTCGATTGGTACAAATGAGGTCGGTGGCAGCAGAACTGATTAGGCACAGTTTTACTTTGTTTGTGTGTGTGCTGAACAGGTTCGGAAGCTCAGGTCGGATAAAGCGCTGGAAAATCCACGTTTGGAGAGGAAGAAGGGAGAGCTGGCCTGGCATTGAGCTTCTGCACTGGAGCATCCTGCTGACCAGGGCCGGCCACAGCCCTCTGAAAGGAATATGCTGAGCTCACACTGCTTTTCTCCTTTCACGCATAGACAAAACGCTGGCAGCAACCGTTTCTGCTGGTTTCTATGGTCTGTTTGTCTTGCAATCACTATTGAATCTGTGTTGTGATTGAATGGTATCAGAAGACTATACAAATACTGTATATACCAACAAAGATGTAGGTCAATTTGGAAGTTGTAATATAATGTGCTTTCTCAATTCACTCTCATGGCAGCCTGACGTTTGAAAGATTTCTCTAACATGGAAACAAAGTGAACAAAATGTACCACCATCATATTATAAGGACTTGATAGAGAAAGAAATAGCGTTTTGATAATAGTGTTTATCCTGTTGTCCTGATTCTGACCGTTTATTGGTTTGCCAGTTGGTGCAGGTGCACCTCTATTGTGATGAGTATTATGTCCTTCTCATGACTCCCGCAGTCAGTGGTAAACCACCTTTTGTGGGTTTAATCCCACAGTTCAGTTTTACAGGGGAGGATGTTGAAAAGGTGCTTGCATTGTATTTTCCTGTTCCCTGGGTCCAGACTGCTGACACATACACAATAACATAAAGCCCCTAAACATCTCACACTGAGGTAGAAGCTCTGGCCTGATCTCGCCTCACAGTGGGGAAAACATGTATTGCAGAAAACACATAGTATTAACCAGACTTCAGAGGGGTCGATGTAAAAACCCTCAGCAAGTGATATTTATGTTCAACTCTTTAAATTGACAACAATAATCCACAAATGAAGCATCTTCTCCATCTCCAGTTCTCCTGCTCATGAATAATTATGACCTTTACGGATGGATTATCTCTTAATACCAGATCCAAAAAACATCCCCAAATTAAGAGGTGGCCTCTTCGCTTTCGAGGGAATTATCTTCTACCGATGCTGTTTTAAAATGACAAAACAAAACACACGGAAAATCCTAACCATAAAGGAAATTCATGCTTCCATTTCCCTACGTTTGGAAATACTCTGTGTAACACTAAAGAGAAATGAGAGTGGCACTCCCAAGTGGTTACAAACGGTTTCATGGCAATTTGTCTGAAGACTATTCATTTATTGCTCACATTGTCTTACGTATATTGAAGAAGCTATTTGTAATTGTATACAATAAGTAATTTTCCCTTTTTATACTGGCTCCAACCGGAGTTACTCCAATGCAAGAATGAGAGGCACAGTTCAATATTTCATTTGAAAGTGAATACAAGGTTTCAGCAGACCAAAGAGTTAGACACATGAAGTGGAAATATTAAGGCTTTGTGTTCAACAATCTGAAACTGTTTATTAGAAATGTATACTAAAACTCCCAAGCCTAAAAGTAATACAAACGCAAATGTTCAGCACGTTTTCAATCAAACACACAAGCCTCCAAAGCAAAGAACTAGTGTATCTGATAAACAAACATTCAGAACCTGTATTGTTTAAAGTAATTGGGGAAACTCTTGGTAGACTACATAGGATTTCTGCCCTCACCTCAGTATGCATATGGAAGAAAGTTAATATTGTATCAGCTACAATGTGCAATGTACTTACACTGGCATAGAAAACTCTTAGCTAAGATTTGATCATTTGCGAAAATGCACCACTCTACTATTATAATCTCAACACAAGCTTTTAGTTGCACCAACATCTGTGTTTTTTATATATTCTGAATGTTTTAAAATTAAATTGTTAAATATTTGCAGATATTGGCATACATTTGTAAACCCATTTGAAGCGGAACTCCTGCTTCTTAAATTAACAAATAAAATAAGTGCATTTTACAAATCAAACATTACAAGGGGGATTCTATCATTAAAAAAATCTAAGTTTTGGAAAATAGGTATTTTTTCTTCATTACAAATCACAATTCACAGCCCCACGCTAATAAACAGAGAGAGAAAGTGTAAGACATCAGCACATCCCATTACAGTCATTTAAGAACAATAACAATGTCATTTGAACAGAATTGTCCATGCAGAACAGAACAGCAAAGCATAGCACTGAATGTCACCATGGACTCCTGTGCATGTCAGAATCCAACCATCTCTACCTGGAGGGGCTTCACTTTGGAAACTGCGTTAAGAGAGGAGGTCCCTTCTCCAACATGGCTGCCAACTTATGTCTCGTCTCTCTCTCTTCAACAGACTTTAAACTTGCTTTGATAGCTACTGAGGTGGTGGCCATATTCTTCTACTCAAGGTCAGGCATTTCTGGAAAAGAGACAACATTTTGATCAGATTTAAATCTTAAACTCAACTATTTATGATTGTAATATACAACAAACGCACAATAAAATCAAGTTATAACAGGAAGTACTTAAGAAATTAAATACAAATGATGACACCATGACAAAATCACGTCTTATTTTTTGGATGGAGTTCAGGATATTCAAACTCACTAAACATACCAATTTCAGAATTCATGCAAAAGTTAACCAGCTCTTACGTAACTCCTAATAGAAGCCATTTTTGATTGAATACAATTCATACTCCAGTAAGAACAGCAATCAAAATGAAAGCCCGTAGAAACTTAATAACATCCTACATTGGCTTTCATATCATTTCCCCCCCAAACATTTTATAGCCTACTTAACAGATGCATGACAGTAATATTTGTTATCCTATGGGATAAGTGACTACCGATTACAATTGAACAGATAGCTCTTTCAGAATAGTACTTACTTTCATCGTCGCTGTCTGCAGACTCATGCTGCAAAACAAAAACAATGAAAGACAAATGGTCATACACTGCAGATGGTACATTTCACTTTGTTAAAATGACTTTAAACAAAACATCTGTCGCTGTAATAGATATGAAGCATATAAAAAGTACTTTGTGTACTAACATACATACCTCTTCTTCTGCACCATCTAAATCAGGTATATCATCTCCTCCCATTGTGTTCATCATCTAGAGAATTGCACAGGAGACCGAAATCATTATGTCACCACCACAGTAAACCTGGACGTACTCCCACTTTATTCACTGTACTTACCTCTGAGAATTTGTCAAAACTTGACAAGTCCACGTCTGAGTCCTCCTCCCAGTCTTTCCAATTATTGAAGTCCACACTCAGCCAGTTGCACTAAGAGAAGATATATACCGCAATGTTCACAACAGGTAATCATTTTTATTATCTCCTCCAGGCAGTTTTGTTTTTGATTATGGTTGTTTGTCAACAGGGTCACAACTACTGGCTGTGTCTACATTGATCCGAATCAAGGTGCGGTTCCTCACATTTATTTTCACAAAAAAAATTGTCTGGCAGATGTCTGTGCACTCCAAGTAGCATTGTAGCCATTAATTGATTACGTTGATATTAAACAAGCTTTTAACTCAGTGCTATATTACCATTGTTAGAACGAAGAATTGCTATGCTTGAACTATTTTAACAGTGTTTACACACCTTCTTAAACATCAAATTCAAGACTTTTAAAGGACAGAGTGAAAAATTGCATCAAAGTTGGATTCTAACCCAGGCCCATGCAGTCAGGACGCTTCATGGGTCGCTGCCCCAACAGGTGAGCTACCGTATTGCCACAAGTTTTTTTCTTTAGTTTTTCTAAAGAATGAAAGTTACCTTTGACTTTTCTTTTGTAAGACGTGGCCATGATTTCCCAGCCTCCACTTTTCGTAAACAACACAACACAGACCTGTCAGTGCGCCTGTATTTAGACTCCTGTGTGGAACAGAGAGAGTTTGATGAAGGCTTTGAAAGAATCAGATATGTAGGGAACTGCAACTACGTCTACTGTGCTGACAAACTTACTTTGGGGTCAATCTCCCGCACACAGGTCCACTGAGTTCTGTTGTTTGATATTATCTGTTCCACTGACGCAGCTGTAAGGTGAAAAGAGTTCATGAGATTTCCTTTAAAAACGCCAACAATTCTGATTGTCATCATGAATACACCAGTGGCGAACCGTCAGGGCCTTCAAGGTATTCAGAGAATACCCTGGAACACTCAGATAAAACAAACAAAAACATCGATTTAATTATATAAATAAAATGTATATTAGTGGTGCACGATAATTATCGGTCCGATATTAGGAATTATGACGTCATCCCGATAAACCCGATAAAAGTA